ATTAAAAAAACGCCTCTATCTTAATTAATTATAAAGATAAAAATATAGGTATTATAAAAAATATGATAAATTTAAACATTAATATGGACAACATAATTTAAAAAATTAAAAGAAAAAGAGAAAAATATATATAAATAAATAATTTTAACGTAGAAATATTTGGAAGAATAAGACTCATTTGAATTTTGAGAAAAGAAAGTATTTTAAACAATAATGAATAAAATTTGCATTGTGGTTAAGCCACGTGACAAACTACTATAAAATCACTTGGCAATTTAGATAATATTAATACTAATACTTAGTTTAAATTTAATTTTTTTTTTAATCTGAATGAAAAGAAAGTGAATATTTTTGTAAAAATATTGTCTTGCCCTATCTTAATTAATAAAATCTAAAAAATAAATAAATTGAAAGATAAAAATAACGCCTTTATCTTAATTAATTATAAAGATAAGAATATAGGTATCATAAAAAATATGATAAATTTAAAAATTAATATGAACAATAGATCAAAAGAATAAAAGTAAATAAAATATTTTACTACAAGAAAAAAAAACATATTTTTATTTATAATGTATTATAATGGAAGTAACGGACAAGACTATGATAATTTTAAGTTATGGGTAATGCATTATGGACAAGAAATTATGAGTAATTTTAAGAGATTTGAGAAATTTCTATTTTTTATTAACATTTGTTTAATGATTATATATAAATTTTATCTGAAAGATTAATATTTTAAAGTTATTTGCACATGAATCAAATAACTCAAATCACAGGTTTGTATCCGCGCATCGCGCGGGTAATAATACTAGTTATATTAAAAGGAGAGTAGTATGCATTGTGGTTAAGTCAAGTGGCAAGCTAAAATGAAACCACTTGGCAATTTTAGGACAACATTAATAACTATATATTATATATAGAAACATAATTAATGGAAGTAGTTTAATGAATCTTATACTAATCTAAATAGATCTTAGACAAATCTAATCTATATATCTTTAATTAAATTTATATGTATATTTGTATCTATATCTATATCTATATCTATAATTATATATTTATATTTATATATTGATCTACTCATAAATTTTTTTCTATATTAGCTAGAAATATGGAGGTAAAAATCTATATTATATTAAGAGGAGAGTAGTATGCATTGTGGTTAAGCCAAGTGGCAAGCTAAAATGAAACCACTTGGCAATTTTAGGACAACATTAATAACTAGAAATTATATATAGAAACATAATTAATGGAAGTAGTTTAATGAATCTTATACTAATCTAAATAGATCTTAGACAAATCTAATCTATATATCTTTAATTAAATTTATATGTATATTTGTATCTATATCTATATCTATATCTATAATTATATATTTATATTTATATATTGATCTACTCATAAATTTTTTTCTATATTAGCTAGAAATATGGAGGTAAAAAATTAATTAAATCTATAATAGAAAAAAATAAAAATATATAAAGACGTAAATTGAGATAACCTATAACTATTTATACTTTGGAGTAAGTTAAAATATAAAATAAAACTAAAATTTACTTAAGATATTAAGGATTTATTGAGTTTAAAAATTAAATAATTTCAAGCAGCAAAATAAGATCTTACATAAAGTATACAAATTATTTATAAGGTAAGAGAAAAATTAAATAATTAACAAAAGATATTTTAATAACAAGAATAATAAATTCATATTAATACTGATAAATCGTGCAAACGAATATTTTATACGTAAATATTACTAAAACATTTAGATATAATGTGTTTCAACAATTAAGAAAATATTTTTCTATGATTATATTTGAATTAAGTTCAGCTAGTTTAAATTTGAAAGCATAACATAATTTTTTGAAAATATAGTCCAATTAAGAAAATAGAATGATAAAAATTATTTGAATTTGAGATGAGAAAGTTTTTAAAGTTTTATCTATATTATATTAGAATGAGTGTGGTAAAAATAGATACTAAATTCAAACAGGCTAATAAAAATTCACGTGACAATGTAATAATATTAGGTATTGAATAATATAAAATAAAAAATAAAGAATAAATAGAGAAAAAAATAAAATTCAGATTTTTTATCATAGAAAAAGGGCAAAACTTATTTAAATTTGAGATGAGAAAGTTTTTATATTATAAGAAAAAAGTCATAATATAAGTCCACATAACTCAAGTCTAATAGTTAAAATCAAAAACTAAAAAAATTGAACAACAAAAATAAATTAGAGATAATGTAAGGACATTTATAAATCATAAGTTTAGAAAATAAAATAAAATAAATATACAATACTTAAAAATATTATTAAATTTTAAATAATTTTAAATTCTTGAGTAATGTTTTTAAAACAAAATAAATATTTATTTCATAATTAAAAAAATTATATATTTATCTTATATTATTAAAGAAAAGTAGTCGATAATGATATTAAGTAAATTTACAAGTTAACGAAAAGCCACATAAAATGTAGTAAGATTATATATTAGATTAAAAAAATAGCAAAATTATGTTAAATTATTAGAAATTAAAAGAAAAAATAATTTGAATTTGAGATTAGAAAGTTCTTAAAACTATGATGTGAATGCTCAAATTATGGATAATACCACGAAATTGAAGTCTTACTTATGAAAAATAAAACAATAATAAAAAATAAAATTTTTAAATTACAAAATAAATTTCTAATATAGGTAATTTTACAAAAATTAAATTTGTATCTTAAAACTAAAAAAGAAAGAAAATTTATGTAAAGAAATAAAATGACAGTGAAAATATTATTACAACATTTAGATATAATATGTTCAAACAATTAAGAAAATATTTTTCTATGATTAATATCTGAATCGAGTGCAGTTAGTTTGAGTTTGAATGCATAGCATAATTTTTTAAAAATGCGGTCCATTTTAGAAAATAGAATGATAAGAATTATTTGAATTTGAGATGAGATTATTCTTTTGTTTTTAAAAATATTACGTAAAGAACTAAAATGACAGTAAAAATATTACTACAATATTTAGAAATAATGTGTTCAAACAATTAAGAAATTTTTTTCTATGATTAAATAAAATTTTAAAAATACAAAATAAATTTCTAATATTGGTAATCTTACTAATGAAAATTAAAAATTAAATTGTATCTTATAGCTAAAAAAGAAAGAAAATTTAACTGCATCTAATACAAAATTAATTATAAGAGAACTCAATACATTTGGAACATGATAATCAAATAACTTATGTATTAATATTTTAGACTAATTAAAAGTTACAATTTAAAACAAAATATGACATTATTTTGGCTCTAGGTAAAACATTAATATAAAAACTAATTAACATTTGTAGTAGGGAAGAAAATGTACATAAAAAAAATAGAGGTTGTGTGAGGATACTTATATTTTAAATTAATTTTAAAATATATAAAATAAAATAATTAAATTATATTTTAAAATATTATTGATAAATTTAAATAATTAAAATATTATGATTAAATATTAAATAATACAATAACTATAAGAAAAGAACAAAAAAAAGATTTATGTAAAAGTGATGTGATGAATAAGATATATTTGACTTCCAGATAAAAATAAAGTGATGATAAGAATTTTGTTAAGATAATATTATCTAATGTGCTCGAACAAGATATATCACAATATGACATGTTTAGTATTCTTTAATATCGACAGCGGAACGAAATACAAGTACCAAAATCAAGGGGTTAGGTTGCTACAAATATATATTAAAAAGATTGGTTGTTCACTACGAGATTTGAACAATAATTTCATATCATATTTCATAATTAAATTCTCATGTTATATAATTTTTATCTGAGAGGTTTATATTTTAAGGTTATTTGTACATGATTCAAACAACCTACATCGCAATTTGAAATGATTTGTCCGCGCATCGCGCGGGTACTGATACTAGTGTAAAATAAAAGAAAATACAAGTGAAACTTTTCGGCAAATCTGAATCGGTCGAGTCCCCGAGATGCTCATAGGAGTTAGAATGGCTAAATACGAAAATATTTCAACATTATTCTTTAAAAAGATATCAGTACCTTTAATTATAAAGAAATTTGTAGAGTAAAACAAAATAAGAATATTTGTTTAATTTATTCTTTATCCATCGCTTAAATATCTTAATTAAATTTTTTCCAGCAACATCTTATTTAATTAACACTAATTAGATCACTGAAGAGCGAAGTTGGAATAAAGGTAATCAATATTTCTTATTTTCTTAAAATGCTAAAATTTTGAAAACCAAGGTATATTCTTTCTTTCCTTTCTTTTCTACATTCGGTGTATGCATTTACTATAATTTTAAAGTATTTGAACAAGAGTACTATGAAAAAATTTGTAAGAAGTAATTTAATTTTTTTAATTAATTAATTAATTTGAGAAATAAAATCAAGCGAACATAATTTCTCGTAATGACTAAGCACGTCCCACTGCTGAAAGATTGCTGCACTCTGTCAGCTTTTTTATTTGCTGAAAAAATAATCCCCAAAACCTTAAAATACACACACATGAATAAGAATAAAAGTATCTACAGTTCTACATAGGTGTGGCAAATGATTAAAAGAAAACAGTAACCACCCCTATTATCCACTAAAAAATAAGTTAAATAATGAACTTTTTAAAAACGGATCAAATATGGATAATAACCATAATATCCATTTGGAAAATGAATAACTAATGGGTCTAACTTTTACGGTCGTAAACACTTCTACACTATCAATAGAGATTAACCTTAAATAATATAATCGGAGAAAAACACTTTTAACTCTGTTGCGAAGGTGGACAGCATTACAAAGAAAAGTAAGACTGCTAATTTGAAACAGAGGAAGTATATTTTCATTGTTCTGGAGGAACTAAGAATAACATTTCATCTAATAAAGATATCAAGATATTAGACTAAATGTTAATGTATCGAATTACAAACAAATTGATGAGGAGACTCCAGTATGCACCACCGGATCTGAAGGCCTCAGGTCCACTGTACGCAAACCAACTCCAAAATGCAATATTTTGCAACAGCAGGACAAAAAAGATCTCATAAACTTTTTATTACAACCCCTATACCCTCCCCTCTCCTACCCCTCCCCCTCCCCCAGTATATCTCGAAGAAATCCCAAATATTCAAAAGAATGAAAGGCTTACCAGACATTTCTGGTATTCTGAGGCACGGCTGACACGGTAAAAGAACAAATCAGCCTAAGACGTACTGCACGTCAGATGCATCTCATCAATAAAATAAAAAAGGTGTAAAACAGATTACTTGCTCTGCTCAAAATGTAGAAACTAAATTTGGAAGCACACCATATAATTTCTGCAACTTAGTGTTGAGTTTCCAGAGTTCTGGTTTGGGATCACTTCGAGCTCTCACTAAAGATCGGGTATTTCCCTGGACCATCCCTCTTACCAAGATCAGGTCTTCTACCTGGGGGATTAACCATATGTAAACCTCTAGGATCTGAAGCACTAGAGTTCCTTCCAGAATTAAACTGCTCACTTTTCTTGTACCTATTTTCTGTAGCAACATTGCTCTCCTTGCTAGGAGTCCTGTCTGCTGGTGCAGAGCTAAAAATACCAAAACCAGAGGATGGAGAACTTCGAACACCAGAATGAGAAGGATGTTGCTCCGGAGACCCATTAAGAGGAGACTTCCTCAGCAACTGAGATCCAAGGTCTCTAGTATGTGACGAGCCACTCCTATCCAGTGGCAGTTGCCTTCCTATATCAGATAGGTTGTCCACTGTCATTGTGCTCCTTGAACTTGGGGTGCTACTAGGAGCTGATTTGGTAGGTACGGATGAGTTTCTAGGGTCTCTTTGATACCTATTTTCTTCCCCTGACGGAGCCTGCACTGTGTTCCCTAATTCTCTTCTGAAACTACTTTGCCCTCCAAATGAAGGCCCAGCTGCTTCAGTTCGAGAAGAATCATGTACAGATCTCGCACGTCCAAAATCTGAAGAAACATTTGTAAAACTTGGAGTTCTAGCACCTACATTTTCGCCCTCCACAAAATCAAAAACCTTTCTGGAATCACCTTTTGCACCAGATACTCTCCAATCTGATCTTTTGTCATCCACATCTTCATCAGTCATTTCTTCTTGACAGCTATCATCGTCACTTTCAACACTAGATTCAGCAGCATCACAGTTTTCATCCAATTGTAAAGAACTTTGAGATGCTGCATCTTCTTCAGAACTGGCAGTTTTGCATTCTTTTAACACTTTCTTTCCTGAACCCTTCTTTGATGGACCGAACTTAACATGCCTGACAACAATATATGCCTGCTTCTTCTCCACTCTTGGCCCACTTTCAATATAGGCAACATCTTCAATCTAAAGAAAACAACAACCAACCAAGGCACAGAACTTAAATAATAAAATAACAATTAACAATAGCTTCAAACAGGATGCTACCAACAGTATAGCATCATATCTTACCAGAGGAGAGAAACGTGATAACACTGCTCCCAAATCCTCTCCTTCATTGCCCATGGACATGGCTGTACACTGTTCAGGAACACAAAGATCATAACTGATTATATTTGATAAAAAGATAACCAAACATACATTCTCATGCAACCAACATTATCTGCTTTACCAAAAACATTGCAGACAATAAATCCTCAAGAAATCAACGTCGCATTTTAAAAAAACATGAAGTTGCTACCAAAATACCCTGTCCAAAGCTCCATAAAAGAAAAAAACCTGCCCAAAGCTGGTTTAGACTTCTCACAAAGTAACAAAGGCAATTTTATCGATCTTTCTTGAAGCCAAGCTTCAGGTAAACAATAGAAGACCCATTCAAGTTGCTTATTATGCACCCTAGTTTTCCAAACATGCATGTGACAGCGGACTGGCTCAACTCCATAATAATCAAGTGTCACAGAAGATATCAAATAGAAAAAAGTAGTGAAAACCAGCATCTCCCTAAAAGTGGCTTTAGCATACAACAGCAACAAACCCAGTGTAATCCAACAAAGTGGGGTCTGGGAGGGGTAGACGGCAGACCTTACCCCTACCTTGTGAAGGTAGAGAGGTTATAGTGACAACAACAAGATAAGGTGACAGGGTGATAGAATAATCGAAGCAAAAGGATCAACATATACTAAAAGCGGCTTTACTGTATATCAAAAAAATCCAAGAAACATCTGCAAGCAGATTGAATTGAACTCGGGTAAATTCAAATGCAACAACAACAACTACCCAGTAAAATCCCACATGGTGGGGTCTGGGGAGGGTAATGTGTACGCAAACCTTACCCCTGCCCCGGTAGGACAGAGAGGCTGTTTCCGATAGACCCTCGGCCGGGAAAATTCAAATGCATGTATTAAAAAACCAGCCTGTCAACCTTAAAAAATGTTTTATATGCTTTATGACATAATCAAACCAATGGGGTTAAAAGTGATGCACCGACAAGGACATCTTACAGCACGTAATGGTCTTTAAATTTCAACCTCTAAGTCTGAAAATTTTAAGCAATTGATTTCAAACTTTTACCTAATCAACAAAATTAGTGTTCTAGCTTTTTGAGCCACTAAGGACACCTCGAAGCACATGAGAGAAAATGAGGTGCTAATTTTCCACGCTTGTTAAAATTGATCATTCAAAAAGAGACCATTTTAAGTTTTTTGATAACCGGAAAATCCCCGAGGCCGGTAGTGCATAGAAGCTCGGCGAATAATAGGCCCGTCCTCCTACCCTTCTCCACTTAAATATCATGCTTTTGTCTGGCAGTTTTCAAACTCGTGATGTGAGCCTAACTCACACATCAAGCGTAGAGCTCTTACCATTAGACTGAGGCCCAGCGGGCCAATAGAAAGAACATTTTATTTGCAAGTTTTTCTTAAAACAGAAGATGGCACGATGCAACGAAAAACAAAGTGAGAGTAGCTGCATTAAAAACAAGCAAACACAACACTCAGATGCTTTTTTTTTTNTTAATTTTCAAATCTTTTTTTTCCTGCATGAGGGAAGAGAGAGAGAGATTCAACCCCACAATTGATTTCAAGGCATCATAAAACTAAGAACTGTAAAATTTCAAACAATTGTCAATTATATGGTTCGCTTCCATGGTTAAAGGTGGATATCATTTTAAAGTTTCTTCTTTTCAAGTATAATAAACAACTATCAGAACGAATCACTAGTCATTGGCAAATAGTCAGTGCAAAAGCAAAAAATGAAGGCAACTGATTCAATCTGAAACCTGATAAGAAACCGACACTCAAACCTATCTAGCAGATGATTATCATATGCTCCTTTAAGGATCTGGTATCTCATTTATAAGAAAAAGCACCATCCATAGTAGTCATAAGAACTCCACTGGCACGAAAGCAATCATTTTTTTCTTGAAAATATAATTCCAAAAAAGAAACGTTGAAGAGAAAAGAGAACAGTGATACCAAACTCTCTCAAGAACAGTGATATGTAAAGCTATCGGAGATGCTTTGCTACATACTTTTTCCGACGACCTCATCTCCCTTAGTGAGAACCAACCCCAAAACGACCAAACCCCAGCACTTATTTCCGGTAACCAGATCTCCACGCGCCGTCACGGGCAAAACAGTCCAGCCTTTTTCTGGCGAGATCTGAGCCACGCGCCGGCGCGTGTGGCTAATCCCGACCACTTTTCAAATTTTTTTCTTCAACCAGCCTGCTCAATAGCCTTTTCCGACCCAACCCATCACCTTTTCATCAAAATCTGAATACTTTTCTATTTTCCGGCGACAAAATACCAGCTTCCGGGCCTCTTTTCAAAAAAAATTCTCCACTCAGCCTAATCACTAGGCGTGTCCGACCAGACCCATTCCAGTTTCACCAAATTTTGAACACTTTTCTATTTTCCGGCGATAGAACACAAGATTCCGGGGACTTTCTAACAGCATTTATTGCTGACAAATCAATTGCTCATCCTATCCAACGGGAAAATCCTACAATGAGGGAGAACAACATCATCTATTTTGCAATGGGCTTCAAGTCATATGAAATAGGGAGATGCTCAACAAATGCTGAAGAATGGACAGAGAGAGGGAGAAGCCTAATCAGAAGATCGACGTTCAGCAGGAAGACGATGGTATGGTTGTGTGAAAATCTGAAGGAAGCTTCGAAGGTGAAAGGAAATCATGTGAAAAGATAGAAAATCAAGGATCATTTCTCAGAAATATTTTGTGCGAAGAACTACAACAAACATGATCGTTATATAACCATCATTAAAGTCCAAGACAGGGGAAGGTCAATTGTTATTGTTCCGGAGGTGGCATTCAATTCAGGTTGGTCAGATGTTGCAGCAAAAATAGAAAGGTTCATGAATCGCGGGGTACGGCGGAATACAATTATCGCTCCAAAAGTCATTGAAGGACTTCTGTATTCAAACATAGTCAGAAATCATAAGTGGGCAAGCAGAGAAATGAAGGAAGCGGAGGTCCAACAAGAAGGAGACATTATGCACATTTCTGGAGATTTAACACACAACGATCTGCTAGGTAGGTGCCTGGTGGGATTCATTACAGAAGAAAGCTCCGAAATTGCAACCTTATCAGAAGTTCGTAAATGGGCAGCAAATTCTTGGAAGCAAGCACATGGTATCAACATTTACGAGATGCACCAAAATAGGTTTCTCTTCGAATTTCCTTCGAAGCTAATCGCTAACCATGTACTGATAAGCAAATGGTATTGGAAGAAACACAAAGTTAAGCTCCAATGGTGGAATCCGATGGTGGGGTCTGTTCCAAGAAATAAAATGATGAACCATGTATGGATTAGACTAGTAGGACTTCCACTACATCTATGGTCTCAAAAAGTTTTCACAGAAGTTGGGGAATTTTGTGGTGGCTGGATTGAAACTAAGGAGGAAACAGAACTAAAAAATCATTTGAAATGGGCAAGAATAAAGGTGAGAGGAGATGGATCTGCAGTACCAAAAATAATGAAAATAGAATGTGAAGGGGTAGTCTTTGAGATTCAGATTTGGTGTGAAGCTTCGGTGAGTACGTACGGCGGTGCTGCAGTCAAGCGGCCAGTAGGGGGAGTAGCTACATGTGTTTTGATGGGACATGTGGGTAGCTCAAAGCAGGTTCAGCCTATCCCTAAAAGAGCAACTGACCAGTCATGTGACTCTTTGATGAATACTAATAGGGCTTCGCAACACTACAACAAAAAGGATTTGGGCCCAGATTCATTGGCTCAAATTATATCTGAAGAGAAACCTTTTAAAACACCATTCACAAAACACATGCTAGATCCCTTTAATGAAGAGATAACAGCTATTCAGTTTGAACCTTCTGTGGTAAATCAAATAACCATTGTTTTGGAGGAACCAAAGGAAAGCAACAACATCGCCAGCTCAGAAAAAGAGGAAAACGAGAGGGAGGATGATGGAGATAAAGAAAATCAACAAGAAGCTATTCCTGAAGATAATGCAATGTTGATTCTTGCTGAGCACGAATGGAAGGGACAAAATTCAGAGGAATACAACAACATGCACATGCAGTCAAAAAAATCGGATATGTTTGTGGACTGGGCAATTGAAGAAGTTGTGCCTCTAAACCATCAAAACTTAGAGGCAGAAAAAGACCTGGAATTTGAAGCATCAATTTGGGTGCATCAGAATATCATCAGATTGAGCAAAGAATTTGGGGTGGATTTTAGTGGATGTGAGAGAGAAGCATTGGAACTTTACATGAAAATTGACAGCAGAAGACAAGCGAACAAAGGGAAAGAAGTTACTCAGGTTGTCCAGACTACAAAGAAGAAGGGATTCAAAGAGCTGAAAGGTCTAGATATTGGAAGTAATTTCAAGAGCAATGGAACTAGAAGCAGGGAGGAAGCATCATCAGCCATAGCCAATGTCAGTGAATATCATATCATGGAATGTTAGAGGACTTAATAGAGTCAGAAAAAGGAGATTGATTAAAAGCTTGATACTCAGCTGGAAGGCAGAAATCTTTTGCTTCCAAGAATCTAAAATAGAAGGGGATATTAGGGAGATTGTAAAAGAATTATGGGGTCATAGATGGGTGAAATTTGCTCAGTTGGAAGCAAGTGGGACTAGAGGGGGTATTGTAGTAATGTGGGATGGTAGAATATGGAAGGGGGAGGTATGTTGTGTTGGATCACATACAATTACATGTAAATTTTCCGGCAAGACTCAGGAATATACATGGCATCTTTCAGCTATGTATGCTCCTAATGATAGATAAAAGAGGGAGGAAGTATGGTGGGAGCTAGCAGGTGCAAGAGGTCTCTTTAATGGACCTTGGGTGGTATGTGGGGACTTCAATACTGTAAGGTACCCATCAGAGAAAAATTGTTCCAGATTCACAAGAGCTATGACTGACTTTTCAAACTTCATTGAAGACATGGAACTGGTAGACATCCAATTATCAAGAGGAGAGTACACATGGAGAAAAGGGGACAGACATATAATAGCAGCCAGATTGGATAGATTCTTGATTTCTGCTGACTAGAATGAAGATTTTAGAAACATAAAGCAATCAATGCTTCAGAGAGTTACCTCAGATCATTTCTCATTGATGCTGCAATGTGG